GCTATTCTCAGTGTCTTTATCTCAGTCTCCATCTCTTCCCACTCCTAACTAGAGATATGAATACATAGTATTCACTTTATGAAGCAAGAAGTTTCTAAAGCTAAAGAGGTTTCATCTCTGCATACCTCCTAGTAGCTAGCAAACTGCACTATATAGGAAAAAAAATGCTTATTGAGTGAATGAATAAAGGACTAAATACACATGTGAATGAAGGCACAGGAATAAGATTTCAGACGCAGAGCTTGCAGTGTTTTTAAATGAAAGTCTCTGGATTTTGACTGCATTTTCTTTGTTGTACAGAACCGCCCCACTGATGACAAGACAATGAGCAGCTTTGGCGCCCGAACACTAATAATACACCTGCCCTCACTGTGACCGTCAGAATACCCCACACATTTCAAACTCCCACACAGCCCAGGTTCAGAACCCCAGTGAACTCTGAGCTCTGATTAACATAGAAAGCAAGTCAGATGCGCACACACAATGGAGCACAGTGACAGCTGAGTGACCAAGGGTGTACACATGATCTGAAACAAAATGCTTAAAAGTAGAAAGTGGCCATTAACAGTTCACCAGGGAGTGAAGGCCTTCAGAGGATATCTGACCTTGGAGAGATAACCTGACCTGAGTCTCAAGTTCTTTAGCTATATTTGTCTTACAAGGTTTTTAGAGGATACATGAGACAGTGAGGTTGAAGACATGACACGACTTTAAGGAAGCATGGTTATTTCTAGCGTTGACTGAAAACATCAAAGAGGAAAAATTACATAAATATTTACCTAACGTTTCACAAAAGATCTCTCTCTTGCAAGGAAGTAAATACATAACAGCTTTGTGGCACATGAGAGAAGAAGGATTATAAAACTTTAGTAAATTTATTTCTTCTACTTCCCATCACAGATGGTGTCATCAAGCCAGTTTCGTATATTCTGGCCCATCTCTTTCTGTAGAGCAGGATAGACTGGGGCACAGAGGGTGCTCCTAGGAAAGTGAATTTCCACTATAAACAATAATTATTGAGTAAATAAAAGTGACATGCTTAACAAATTCACTTGAAGTGAATCTCAAAGAGAAGAATAATAAAAATGTGCAACATGAAAGGCTATCCCTACTAGTTAGATTAGGCTTATTTTTTAATGAATAATCCTGTTTTACTTCTTTTAATTATATATATATATGTATATATATATAATATATAATATGCATATACATACACACACATCATTCTCCATTTTGTACATTTTTCATCCCAGTTGTAATCCCCGTGGACTTCCCACCACCACTTCACCCACGTGCCATCACCATAGTCCCATGTGCTCTTCTGACCCCCATTTTGATCCTGTTCACCTCTCTTCCCCCGTAGAATGTCTCTGTTTATAGTTGTTAGTTGATGTTTGTTTTTACATTATTACAATTACCATATATATTTTTCCCCAGTCCCTTACTTTTAGAAATAATAATTCAATATTTCAAGCATGAATTCTGTCAACCCTTCACTCTGGACTTCTCCCAAGACAAATCAAAGTCAGACACTATGTCACCCAGGAGCTGTCACTCAGCCTGACCCCACATGCTCACTGCTCCTGTGGGACTGGCCCACATCCTAGGAGTGAAGATGCCTGAAAGGAGTAGAGGGAATAAAAGTAACTTTCACAGAAATATTCTTTAAGTGTATAAAACACCTCTAAAAAAAGTGTTGTTTTTAATTTTCTGAAAACCTTTATGTAATATTACCTCACTCTTAGAAGCAATATATTGACACTGACAATTTTTTAACTCATGAAGTACACCAGGGTCTCAATCACATAATCATCCTAAAATAACCACCATGAATTTCAATACTGAATCATATGGAGTCCTGCTGCCATCTAACTCTGCAATCTGTTTTATTATTATTATTGCTATTGAATATAATTGCCATACAACATTGTGGAAGTTTGATGTGCATCCAGGCTAAATTCACACGATTATATATTGCAACATGATCACCACTGTAAGTAAGGTAGCTAGTATCTCTATTATATCACTTAATTGTCATTTTATTTTATATTATAAGAATAACTAAGATCTACCCTTTTAGTAAGTCTGATGTTTGTAATTGTTATATAAGTAAAACCTGAAAATCTAGTGCACACATTGCAGACAACTATGCAAACTTAAAAACCAATTCTCAATGTACACCTAGTGACAGGACTTCCCTGATGGCCTAGGGGTTAAGTCTATGCTACCACCAATAAGGCCTGAACAAGCCCAGGTCAGGGAGATAAACCACATGGTGCAGCAAGCCTCTCCTGTCTCACCCACTTTTCCTCCTGGCAGAGTATTTTAGTGAATTTGCTTGCTCTGCTCCCTACCCTGTCTCTGGTGAAACCTCTCATCCCCACCCCTGGCCTGCACCCCAATTATTTTATGCAAAAATGAGTAAAAAAAAAATCATAAAAGTCAAATAAACAAAAACATTAGTGTCTTGTATTGCTAGTTGATATCACATGGAAAAAGCATATTTCATGGAGTTAGCATTCAGTTACTTCCAGCTTCTTAGACATAAATGTTCTACAGTCACAAGATATTATCATCTTGAGGTAAAAGGAGCACCTTCCTCTAACATATTCAATCTCCTTTTCCAAATCTCTTACCCTGTCTGCTGAACAAGTAATAGGTTCATAGGAACAGAAAACTCAGCTCTCTGTTAAGCTGTTTGAAGAACACACAATGTTCTTCCCAACACACCATTTTAGGAACCATCTTCTCTCTGAAGTTTAATACAACCCCTTTTCCTCATATGGAGGAGCAAAAGGAATGTTTGTCCTCACACTCAGACAAGTTGAACCCCCTTTCCCAAGACTGGAGATCATAGCAAATTTAGGAGACAGAAAGACACATTCAGAATGAAATTTTCCAGAGATAGAATCAAAAAAGATACCACCGTAAGATGTCGACTTCTCCAAGCATCTAAAATAGGTTATTGATTCTCGCAATTCCCTGGTACTTAATCTGGGTAAGAAGGTTGAGTCCCTCACACTGGCCAAGAGGAGCTGTCTTGTTGATTTCTGCTCTTAGTGTTATCACTTCCAAGAGAAATGTTTTATAAGCTGAAGAGCAATAGCTGAAAATATTCAAACCCCAAATGTCATTGGTTTGCAAAGAAGAATAACTTTAATAAAATATATTGATGGGGGAAAAAAAGTAGTTCACAGATGCAGAGATGAGGTTGGTGCTTGCCAGAGTTGGAGGCTGAGACAGTGGGCAAAATTGAGAAGGTGGCAAAAGGTACAAACAAACTTCCAGTTATAAAATAAACGAGTCTTGAGGTTGTGAAGTATGACATGGTAACTATAGTTAATGTTGTATTGTATATTTTCAAGTCACTAAGAGAATAAATCTGAAAATTTCTCAACACAAGTCAAAAAGCTTAAATATGATGGTGAAGGTGTTGATGACACAATTTTGATAATCACTTCATAACATAACAACATTCAGTCATTAGGTTGTATACTGAGCCCCCTGTGAAACCTTTGGCCTGTTAAGTGTTTTCAATCACTATTTAATTAATTACACTTAATTGTGTACTATTATAAATAACACTTAAATTTTTCTCACTGGAAAAAAAATATGATTATGGAGATAAAGGAGACCGATTCTGCATTTCTACCATCCTTAAGTATTGCTGATGCTATTGATACATGTATCACATATTTTTAGCAAGTGTCCAGGATCTAGATGCCCATGTCTTTTTACACAAAACTTGACATTTTCATTTATAGTAGATACCAGTAGAGGAACTTGAAATAGACTTATCCCATGATAGAAAGTAATGGAAAAAGATGCATTAATAAGAAAACAAATCATTAGACAAAAGGAAGGCTAAGATGTCAAGATTCCCACCCTGCCATCATGGCCCAGAGATCTGGAGAGACTTGTAGCAGCTACTGTCTGGGAGCCATGCTTTGCTCTAGTCAAGGACAACAATTGCCTGGATTCATTACCTTTGGCTTCACACTGAAGACAAAGCATCTGGTACCTGCTCTCGCAGCTTCAAGGATGTCCCTCTGATTACTGTCACTTTCAGTCCTGTTTTTTCGTGTGCTTTCCAGACCAAGGAAGAAGGGACTGCAAAAGCCATGTCATCCAGGCCTCTAGCCCGGATTTGGGGAGAGATGCTTGTAGGAATGGTACCAACCAGGTTGAGCATACACCACAAAAACTACATGTCTTTCATTGTCTCACAACACTTGGGGCCCAAGCCCCAGATATATCACACCCTACACTCCTCCAATATTCCCAGCCCCCACCCTGCATCAGGTCTGGCCTCCCAGGACCTGCTCTAATACCTGGGCCACTCTCCTTCAACTCACCAGTCAGGGCAGAGGAAATCACCTTCCTCTCTTTGTATAGTTTACACCAGAACATGTGTCAGATAAACAAAGCCCCTGAGAATATTGTTCAAATTTATTCTGAAGAGTCTTTAAAATCACAGATGCTTGGTATCACATTAAAAATCCAATTGAGCACGGCCCTCCCTGGTGGCGCAGCGGGTTAAAGCACAGCACTGAGAATCCAAAGCCGCTTCCGCATGAGTTCGATTCCCGCCTGCCCTGGAGGTGACCACATGGCGTGGCAGACCTCTCCTGACCCGCCCACTGCTCCCCTCAGCAGTGTACTTCGTCGATCTGCCTGTTCTGCTCCCCACTCTGTCTCTGGTGAATCCTCTCACCCTCCGCATCTCTGGCCTGTACCCCAGTTCTGTATGAATAAATAAATCTTAAAAAAAAAAATCCAATTGAGCACATTAGCTCAATAATTATTCTCCAATATGCTATATCAAGGATATTTTAAAAATGGACCTAAATAAGTTTTAAAAGAATGTGTTTTGTTTTATTGATCCTTGAACTAATTACTGAAAATCTTTAAGATTTTTCTTCCCTCAGTTTTCCAAATGCAAGTCTCTTCCCAATTGAGTGGACACTTGGGAAAACAGGACTCTGCCCCAGACTACTCACAGGTCAAGGGTGTGGCATGGGTAAGGAATTGCCTGTGCTTGTGTGGCCGGTTCCGTGGCTTCCTGTCCAGTCTGCACCAAAATGATGGCTCTTTCAATCATGTCTTGCAACGGGACAAAGATGTAGTTATACTTGAAGCCATCAGCTGGCAGGTTCTGAGGATGAAACTTCCAATAAGGGTTTTTCACCAAATCTGTCCTCATGCTGTATAAAACACTGGTGCGGATTGTGTATGTGACATGGGGTGGCAGCAGGAGAGGCTCTGAGGTGAGATTCTTGCCAAGGAAGGAACTGTTGAATATGATACCTAATGGAGGGAAAAGGAAACCAAGGGTCATCACAGAGAGAGTCACACACTGTAAGCACAGGGCCCAACTGAGAACAGGACACTCTTGGACTCAGCACATTCTCCTCTCTTCCAGAAGGGTCTATGGCCCAGGGAATCAAAGCTGATTTTCCAGGTAACTACTGGTAATTTAGAATCAGGGCCTCCTACCTCCTAATCCAACACTCTTTTCTACTTTTAATAAAACCACACAGTGGTGTCATTAATTAGACAAAATAGTATTCATTTTGCATTTTTAGAGGACTTGAAAAATTATACAAGATTCTCAATCAGATTTTCCTTCTCTGGCATTTCAGAGGTATTCCTAAATATTGACATGATCAGGGCTTTTTATCATTCAAATTATACACAGATGAGTTTTGTGTTCTGCCACTTGATTTCTTTAAATTCACATGCAATGTCTGTTATGTGTTGATTTGTACTTCCCTAAAATTCATATACTTCAGAATGTGAACTTATTTGAAGGTAAGGTCATTACATGAGGGTGGGCTCTAATTCAGTGAAATTGGTGTCCTTCTGTAAAAGGGTGCTTGGACACTACATGTACAGAGAAAGACACAGTCAGGGGGATGACTTTCTACCCACCAAGGACGACAGAGCCCGCAAAAGGAACTGGCTTGCTGTTGTATGGGCCAGTGACTTCTGGGCAGAAATGTGAGAAAATCTGTTCTGTAAGCCACTGGTACCTTGACAAAAAAGCCCTAGCTAATTAGCAAAAACCAATTAAAAATAATTCACCATTTATTCAAAATAAGTATGAAAACACATCGTTTTCTCCCTGACTAAATGAGGTGACTATGATCTTTCCCCTAATCCCCAGAGGATCAAGATACTATAATAAAGAAAAGGAATAAAAGAAAAGTGTATCTAATTTAAACAGGAAAATATAATTTGTCATATGAGATTATCAGAAAACATCATAAACTAGTAAAAATAGATGCAGTCACATCAGTCCCAGGAGGGTAAAAATACCAGGCTTCATCATGTATGAGGTCTGTCTTCATAAATTAAATGCAATTAGCTCTGTTTCACTGTGCTTGATCTGCAGAGGACTCAATTTCAAAAGCCATTGTTAGAACATTTAAGGAAACGATGCAAAATGATGACCCATGATGCTACTGCCTTTGTGCTCATTTTTTTCACTGACTACTTACTGGCCAAAAAGTCATTCTGCTTCATGAGATCATGTGCTCTAGACTCCAGGATGGCCGGTGAATCCATGGCCTGGAAACGGTTCAATGCCACACAGGAAGAGAGATTGACCAAGAGGTGGCCCAGGAATTGGATGTCTCCAGTCCCTGTATGGTTAAACATCTTGTGCAGCATCCCTCCTGAGGAAAGCAAGCAAATGATAGCCTGGTACCTTTTCCTTCAGCACAGAACAAACAGTTCATATTGTGGAGATTGTGAAAATAAATGTAAAAGTGCATTAAAATTCCTCCATGTAAAAATGTTATTCAAAAGAGTACAATTTTGTTCACATGCAAAATGTGCTAGCAATTTGTTGAATGTAAATTCCAGTTTTTATAAACATTCCCTGTGATGTTGCTAAATACGAAGAAAGGATTTAGAGTGCAGAGGGTGGGGTGGTGCTACAGGAGCAGGAGATGGAGGGAACAAACTGGAGAGAAAGCCTCTGAATAACAGAACTCTGACCTCCCCTCACAGAGAACCTAGCTACACAGAAAAGTTAATGTTCAGCCTGGAGTCAAGTAATTCTAAAAACCAAGCCATCACTGAAGCAGCAGCATATTATGAAAACCAAGAATTTTATCACATTAACTTTGCAAAAACATTTATCAGGAGTGTTGGCTTTGAGGAAATCAACTCCTCCTGTAATCTCCTTCCTGGTTTATGCATTTGAAATGGAAATGGAGTTGCAGATTAAAGTTTGGAACATCTCGTGGCTGAAGTTTAACACCAAATTCTTGTCAGAACAAGACACCAAGGGGTGGGGTGGTATCTCAGTATATATTTTTAAAAAGATTTATTTATTATTTATGCATGCAAGAACTGGGGTGCAGGCTAGAGGTATAGGAAGAGAGACGATTCACCAGAGACAGAGTGGGGAGCAGAGCAGGCAGATCCATGAAGTACACTGCTGAAGGGAGTAGCGGATGGGTCAGGATAGGCCTGCCATGCCATGTGGGTCAGCTCCCTAGCTGAGGATTGAACTCATGCTGCAGTGGCTGTGGAGAGCTGCATAGTGCTGCACTTAACCTGTTGTGCCACCAGGGAAGGCCCGGTGTCTCAGTATCTTAACTCTGGCTTCAGGAAGTTTCTGAGTGCAGGTGAAAGACACAAGAGAAAAATCTGAACACATCTGAAGAGGGAAGTTGGCTAGAAAAGATCTCAGAATTACAAAGGTGGCCAATCTGTGGCAAAGCAAGTCCTTCCTTCAGGTGTGCTCTTCCCAGAGGTGGGCATCTCCTTGTGGGGGATACCACATGCAGAAGAATGTGGAAAAATCAGTTGACATGGTTGGGTCTCAAGGTCTTCCTTGACAGGAAAGAATTATTTCCATCCACAACATTCAGATAACGTGAAACACCTAATGTTCCAAATAAGGCTGAACAGGCGGCATTGTCCTTTATATACTTGAATAGCTTCTCAACCTTTATCACTCACTGTTTCTCAGAGGAGAGGCCAGAACTTGTCACTGTTCTTGGCATAGCCAATTTTTTGCCAAGGTGCACTGTAAGGACCTGGGAAGGCTGGATTTCAGATTACCAGCTTTTCTAAATAAAAATGAGATAGAATTGTCTAGATAAGCACTTTTATCATCTGGCTTAATATTTGCCTTTCAGTAGTTAAGTGCTGCCAGGACATTCACTTTAATGCACAGGAATTAAGGCACAAAGAAAATGGGAACAGAAAGTCACACAGTGGGAGCCCAGCCTCTAAACAACTGGAAAGTGCATCTATGTGGGTGGAACTATATGAAACAGCTATTCAACAAATGTACAAAGTATGTGTACATCATCAATTTCATACAATTTGGCCTAACACAATAGATGACATGATCTCAAGTCCAAGATTTGTATTCCAATTCCACTGATTAAAATATCCTGGCTCTAAGCCTGTTTTGTCATCTACCCTCCATAGTCTATAAAGCATAAATACCCCTTATTGTTGTCTCCTGGGGAGAGAGCAAATAGAAAATTAAAAAAAAAAAAAACATTTAATAAACTATTAAACAAGAGACCAACTAACTCCTACTATTTTGGGAATACACATAGCACTTTAACTCACAATTGAGTGGACCACAAAGAACTTGGTTAAAGAGCCAAATTAAAACATAGATGACAAACTCATCAGTCAATTCATTTAAAGGAAAGAGCCCAAACCTGGTCCTGGCCCAGCATCAATGATAGGAGTGTTGGGCCATGCTGGGGCCACTCTGGCACTGTGGCTTCCTGGAACCACAGGCAAAGAAGCCGGCAAGGAGTGCCAAGCAAGCCAGGTGGGCTCCCAGCAACAGCCGGCCGTGCAATGAGACCCATGTTCCAGCCCTGCTACAGCGCCCCTGAATTGTTAGACATAGCCCTGCTATGAGGCCTGCTCTGGCCGAAGAGCCTTCCCTGATCTCAGAGTAGTTTGAGTCAGGGTGGGGGCTGAGAATCTGGTGCCAGGGTCATAAACGGACCAGTAAGCTCTCTAGTTGTCAGGCAAGGACTGGAGCCCATTATGAAGACTGAACATAGGGGCACATTGATTGGTACTGAACTGGCCCCCACCAAAGAATTAGGTCTGAAAAATAGTCCAGTCAAGATTATAGGGTGGGCACCTGTAAGATGACATCAGCAGAATGAGCAGTCAGCTGGAATTCATTCAGCACGCAGCCTCTAAATCAAAAGGATTCTGCATACAACCTCGAGAAAGAGAAGACTCAGCAGACAACCTCTGAAGAAGCGTCAAGTAGACAACCTATGTGGGACGCCAAGGCATCCATGTACCTATAGACCACCACAGATCTTTGCAGGGACCCCACTGACCTTGCCACTGCTTCCAACTGAAAAGAGTATTGGGCTGGGCACATCTCTCTAAAAGAGCTGTTGGCTATTGGTGTGGGCCAATAGCTCACAAAGAATTATGAAACTATTATATCTGATACCACCTCCTGGTGACTGGTGCTAGCAAGCACGATTGACCAGTGTAGACCAGCACTGCTGACTAGTGGCTGGCACTCTATGTCTAGTCAGCTTTGAGAGCTGTCCACCATTTCTGATCATCCAGCACTGCTTCCTGGTGTAATTGAGGAAGCAATGTCTATTCGGGTGCCCAGTCCAGTGTTATCCAGTTTGGCCTTCAGATAGTTGCATTGGGCTGCTGCAGTGTCACCTCAACAACCCCAACTGTGATCACCACCAACTGCCACCATGAGTTGGCTCCTGGCCCACTGCTTGCCTATGTGACACTGATTCCAGGCCCTTGTCAAAGAGACAGTGCCATCCTGCACAAATGGGTTTTGTTTGGAATTACTGAACTTTGTGGACAGCATCTTGGGTGAAAGAGTGGTCACTTGTAATCTTGAAAACACTTTTCTTTCCCTAATCTCTTATTTGTTAAATAAACTCCATTGTGTTTGCAATCTGAGCCTGAGGGCTTTTGCAATTGTGAACACACAGATGAGGACCCATAGAGAGTAACCCATGGCCCACCTTGGCAATGAATTTTGCAATACTTTTTTTTTTTTTTGCAGGCATGATGGGAACTTTATCTGTTTAAATGACACAATCCAAGAAGCACTATATGATTTGCAAGCAGGTCACCTGCTTACATGGTCTCTTAGATTCCCTAGGGGAACTCATTGGGGACACAGCAAAGAGTGACATCACCATGGGCAAAGTAGCATAGCAGACTCTTCCCAGTCTAACTATGCTACAAAGGACCCATGGGAGGGATTTTACTGGTACTGATATGGGACACACCCCAGAGTGGCCAGTGTTCTGGCTGGTCTCTACTTAGGCATCCAAAGGGTCAGCCAGATCAGTTTGAACAAAAGGACATGGCATCTTTGGGCAGTGTCTCTCAGGGTGGAGCCCATTTGGCCTATGAACAGGACCCTGCTCTCAGAGCACAATCTATGGCTCTAGACATCAGTGGTAGACAGGAGAGTGCCACTCACCACTTCCTGGTGGGCATTTGTGACTGTTTACCCTCAGCATCCCTATTTCCTTTTCATGCAAAGTGGAGTTTTCTAAAGATTCAATGAAATATGCCTGCAATTTTTTGAGAACTCACTGTGTGCTGAGCCCTCAATAAATGTATCTTAGCACCAGGATTATTAATACATAAAAGCAATTCCCAGTAGAGGCAGAGACAGACTGTGCAACCTTCACCCTGCTGCCTTATCAGATATGGGTTTAGATAACAGTGACAATGTTCTGCTGAAAGCCACGTTCTGCGGGGTGCACATATTTCCATACTGCCAACCCTCCTGTCCACCCTAACCTAGATGGAAAGCCAGCATCTCAGCATCTGTGGAGACACGGCATCTGTGGAGACACAGATGGTACGGGCAGAAAACTGGCGTGTCTGGCTGATGCAGAAGCAAAGCTGGTGCCAGACATTTTTAATTTTCTTTTATCTATTTTCTCCATTTATTTCACTCTCCAAGCTTGCACCCATGTCACAGGTGAGGACGCCGAGGTGCAGAATATCTCCAATGTCCCAACACATGACCACTAGTGCAGTGGCAGAGAGAAGACGTAGCAGTGTGCAAGGAGGAGACAGGGTACTTGAAAGAGATTTTACAAGAGAATATTGTGAAATTATTGGTATTTTTCCATGAAATTTCATATTGTACTAATCTGGTCCTTATCTGTTTTAATATACAATTATATCTCATTTTCCTTCAAATGCCAAAGCCAAAGTAATGTCTTTGGGCGATGCATAGCATTTCCTCTGTGAATTGCTGTGTCCTTGTACACCAGTGAGTGAAAATGTACGTAGCAAGTTTCTGGAGAGACAGCGGCACTGTAAAATGCCACTGTGAGAGGTGGGTTTTGTGCAGTGCACAGTGGCTGTGATGAACTCTCCCTTGGGGACTGTTTTCTAAAAAGGGTGGGTACTTATTTGGGAGGCTGAATCTCCCAGAGAGAATAACCCCAGGTACCTTCGAAGAGCAACACACATGGTAAGCTTGGATGAGATAGCCCAAAGCAGGACCTTAGAAGGCATGGCAATGTCAACCTGCTGCGGAAGTTCCAGGGAATAGAAGCATGACAGTAGCAGAGTCAGGTGGAGTTTTTGTCATGGTAGCAGATCCACAATTCCATGGCTTATACTGACAAGTTTTTAAATCTGAGAAAGTTTCAATGTCTATAATGGTCTATAATGTGAGGATATAATGATCTATAATGTCAGGAATGTAAAATCACCTATGGATTAATTCTGAAGATTTTATAGTTTCTTTAGTATCTTGTGTGTCATAAATACCCACTTTTATAATAGCTAAAGAAAAAAAAAGTTCCACCTAGTTAATTTAATTCCTCTGTATGAAACAAAGCAGAATAACTAGATAGCAAGAGACCAAAAAGTAGATTGTACATGGTGTGGAGCTTTGAGAAAATTTTATTTTTGTTCTTATTTTATGGAAAATTAGTGTTAAATGTTATAAGATGGGGCAAATTACAAATATTTTTATATTGTTTATCATCTGTTACTTAGAATATGTGCTTCATAAGGTCACCTAGTAAGTTTGGTTAGGTAATTTAATTGGTTATAATTCTGAATGTTCAGTGGAGTAAGCTTCTGTATTGTATAATTTAAAATATCTCCCATGGACAGAATCAAAGCTGTTAAAAAGAAAATGGGCTTTGCAGAGCTGAATTGTTCATATAGTTGAATAATTATATCTATATCCATGTATATTATATATAACCCAAGCATATGTATAAAAATATACCGATCCAGACACATGTGGTATGTGTGTATGCATGTGTGCACACAGTGTTAGGAATTGGAAAAGCTGTTCTTTACGAAAGTTCAGTAGGAATGGGTGTAGGACTGTAAAGACATTCCACCTTTGAGAGGAAAGCAACAACATCCTTATTTGTTACTAGTCTGCACAGTGGACTAAATGTAGCGCAACGTGTGCATGCTCTATGACTTTGGATAATTCAAGTGTCTCCCCAATGGGAAGGTCTGTGGAAAACAGGGACACACAAAAAAAGTTAAAGCACATTTTATCTCTTAGCCTCTCTAATCCAAGCTCATTTCTTCCCCTTTGTATATGGCAGATAATTAAAGAGAAGTTGAAGGAAGACATAGACAGTTCCAGGAGGCCAGGGAGCACCATACAGACCTTCTGTTAGCCTGCAGGGATACAACAGTTGGGAGCTCACATGGGAGGTGGGGGGTGGGGGGGGGAGAGGAATAGGGTATAAAATTCTATAATACTGTGGGTTCAGTTCCAGCTAGTAATAGTTAAGTGTTGTCTTAGTTCAATGTATATTACCTGAGATGTATATGCATGGTTAGATTTGCCATGTCCAACCAGAAACTGAGAGTTCTCAATGTCTCTATCCCTAAAAATTATGTTAACAACTAGCTCCATCCTTCTGCTCTAATTGAGATTTTCTAAACCTAAGCACTACTAAGGTCCATATCATTTATTGTGGAGGCTTTCCTGACATTATAAAACTTTATGAGGA